CAGCCGCAGTGAGCGGCCGTCCAGAAGCCGGCGACTGATCTGCCTCACCCGGGAAGAGCACAATGATGGTGCCAACTTGGGCCAGTGAAGCAACATCCTCCACAACTAGATTGAAGAACAAAACGACAGCAACTTGTCTGTTCCCCTTCCCCCAGTTCCCCAGCACTGTTCCCATCCCCCCAATTCCCCAATAAAAATCTTTAAAAAAAAAAGAGAGGTTACGTATTTGCCCAAAGTCATGAAATGGGATTCACACATATACAGAGGGTGCCAAAAAAATGTATACACATTTTAAGAAAGGAAAAAAAACTATTAAAATTGCAATGCTCAGTATATACTGATAACAAAAGATGAATACAAGTCACGTTTGACTTTTACAATTACAAGAGGTGTTCAAAGTGGTTACCATCAGCATGCAGACACTTCTGATTACAGCGAAGTACTGCTTGAGCAATGTTGACCAAAGTGTCCACTTGCATACATTTTTTTGGCATCCCATATATATGAGTGTGTGTATAAACAGCTTTGTCACAGTAAGAGAAACAGCATGAATTGAGGTAGGAAAGCACGGGCCCACAGGGAATTAGACAGGTCGTTTCCTGAAGGTGGGGAATATGTGTGTCTTGCTCACCTCCCCACGTCCAGGGCCTGGGCAGTACTGACACATTGTAGATGCTCAACAAATTATTTGTCGAATGAAAGAAACAGAGTGGTCCTCTGTTGCTAAAGTCTAGGGTGTAAGGCTGGAAGTCAGAGGGACAGGAAGGGATGTGAATGGGGGAATTTTCAGCAGAGGCAGGCCCATCAAAGTCCATCAGAGTCAGAGAGGGCTCGCCAGTGTAGTAGGTGCATGGCAGGAAAGAACAGTTAGTGGGAAACCTATCATGAGACCACCTGAGAAGTGTGGGAACAACAGGGAAGGTAGCAAGGCTGGGGAAAGAGTTGAGTTGGTGCCTGTCCCTAACTCAGAGTAGTGAATGTGTTCAAAGTTAATTCTGTATCAGACCTTCTTCATGGCAAGCCCACCCTGCTCCTTTACCAACCCCCTTGGGTGGCTTGGGCTGCCTCTGAGCCTACTTCCTCATCTGTAAAATGGGGATAACCATACTTACAGAGAAGGGTTGCCCTGGAGGTTAACGAGGTATTATGGGAACAGTCAGCACCCTCCCCCCATTCCTCACCTTACACATTAGCTATTGCTGTCTACATCTACTTCCCAAGAGGAGATCTAGGCTGAGCCTCCTCCCATGAATTGAAGCAAGTTTCTTGGCATATGCCAGAAGGCCCAAGAGCCTTCAGGGTTTGGAAAAACACTCCCCAGCTGGCACTGTTTGTTTTGGCCAAGGCCCCTGCCTTTGCTGACCCCACCCACTCAGTATAAAAGAGGCCTCCCGCCCAGGAGCCCCTGATATCAGAAGCAGATAAGAGATACAGCCCAAGTTCTCCCAGAAACACAAGGTCCTTTGGAAAATCAAACTCAAAGAGGAATAAAACTGTACATCCAAGTGTGTTAAATTTTCCTTCCTAATAAGCACAGATAACTCAAGGAATCAACCCACCCCCACCCCACTTTTACCTATGCCCCCAAAAAGACAGAATAAAGTTTCATGGAAATTGTATCTTTCTTCACACTCATAAGCCAGGTGGCAGCTGTTATGCTCTCCATTTGTGGATGGGGAAATGGAAGCCCAGGAAGGAGGCTGCCCGAGGTCCTTCAGCAAAGTTGGAGATGAGACCCAGGTTATAAACCAGGTCTCCTAGCTCTCTAGTCCCACATTTGGCCTCCTCTGTCTCTCCTTAGGACATTGTCGGCACCAGGAACAAACAAACACATAATTACAAATAGGCATTCGGACCCACTTTACAATTTTTATTTTGTAAGTTTGATTTTCTCACTGTTTCTGTGTGTTTTCAGCACATGATGTGTGGAAGTCCTGGGCACAGCAAAAGTTAGTCTGTTCCTTGTCCCTTTCTGCCTAAAACATATCTTGTCTTATCTCTTTTTGGCCTGAGGTCACCTATTGCTTAATTACTTGCCCTCCCACCCCCAAAGAGTTAACCTTTGGGAGAGACAGGATTCAACTTTTTTAGTATCTTCACCAGGCCTGGGTATTTGATGGGTTCTCCATAAATACATATGGCAATGGAGGGAAGAGAGACAAGCCTTACAGTGTGGTGTGGTGGGTAAGAACCAGTCCTGTGGAATTAGACTGTCCTGAAAAAGCCCCTTCTGGTATTTGGCTGCTGCCTGGGACCCAGGCATCCAACTTACATTCCTTTTTGAACTTTGTAATTGTTTGTAGTTGAAGATACCTCAGGGCTGAGCCTAGTGCCTGGCACATAGTAGGAATTCAATAAATATTCATGGGAATAATTAATACCTATCTCATTGGGTTATTGTGAGGAATAAATGGGATAATGAATGTCAAGTATTTCTCAGAACCTAGCATACAGTAGCTACTCAATAATAGCTACTCTTAACTATTTGGTCATTATTAGTATTTAGAACTGAACCCATGCAAATAGAATGCCACAGTGGGTTAGGAATGAAAAAAACACCTGAATTCAAATCCCAATTCCATCATTTTATGTAGAAAAAGCTACTGGATTTAGGATCAGAGACTCAGGTGAGAGACCTGGCTCTGCCATGGACTAGCTGTGTGACATCAGATAAATAGCTTTACTTCTCGGAATTTGTGTTCTCATCAGCAAAACAAGGAGATTAAGTAATTATTAAGATTCTTTTTTTCTAGCTTTAACAGCTCATTGTAAGATGTAGTCTCACACTGGTCTCTTGCGTTCTCTGACCCCAGTTTGCCCATCGCACACAGGTGTTTAGGGGCCCCTCCCTGGGGCAGGGCAGGCCCAGAGTGTACAGATGCTAATGCCCCTCCAGCCCCCACACAGCAGGGCCTGGCAGTACTTGTTCAGCTCACACTGACTGCTGAATGGTGTGAATTGGTTACGTGTCCACACAGAGCCCTGGTCCCCTAATGAGTTGTATGGGGGCACCTTTCCCTCTACTTCTAACTACAGGAATATAGAAAAGAATAACCAACAATGACCATTCTGTCCCCTATTAACAAAGTTTAGAGAGAGCTAGTGTGGAGACTTCAGGAACTATATATCAATAAATACAATAAAAAATAATGCATTCTAGTGGCAATGTACAATAATTTACCATCTAATTAAAGGTATATATAATGCAATTATGGCAAATCCTGCTTACATTCAGTGAGATCCCTTTAACCATTATCTTCCTTGGTGCCTCTTTTGAAGCACTAGCCTCAGTCTTTATAATTTACACAGCTCTTTGACTCATACATTATCTCACTTGACTCCTCACAATAGCTCAGAGGGTAGAAGCAAGTCAGGCATAATTTACCCTCATTTTTCCACCAGCAGAGGAGGCCCAGGGAAGTGTGGAGCTCTGGCCACGGTGCAGTGTCCGAGTTATGGAAGAGTTGGGACTAGACATCAGATTGTCATCACCTCTCTCCAGTAGTCCTGATTACAACCACTCTACAACCAGCCTTGCCCTATGGGGGCAGTTCCAGGAGGCTTTTCAATATGCCTTCTCTATCCAGCAGGTTGTGGGTTCTAATCATTGTCTTGGAGATGGCCAGATTTCCGGGCTGTTAGGTCTTAAGCAGGTGGGATCACAGCCAGTCAGAGGCCAGGACTTCTTCAAGTAAAATGTGGGACCACCTGGTGGGTATGTACCCAAGGGGTGTTGTTAGACATGCAGATTTCTGGGTCTAATCCCAGACCTGATTCCAAATGCTTTGGAATATGCATTCAAAATTTTCATCATCCAAACTAAAGTAGCTGATCTAGTCTAACCTATTACTGTAGTCATTACTGTCTTCATGGATACCAGACAAGGACTTGTTTATCACTTTATTGACTTTCTCTACCTTAGAATGTAAATTCCATGAGGATAGGGACTTTGTTAGCCTGATTTATTGCCAAACCCGGTTTCCTCGAACCCCCCACAATACGAGGTCAGTAAATATTTATTGAATTGTGCACTAAAGTTCGAAACCACTGTCATACACCACTCTTTCGTTTTACAATAGGGACACTGAGGCCCACTGAGGAAATGACTGCTGCAGAGTTGATAAGGGGCAGCGCCAGGGCCAGGATTAAAATCTCAGACCTCAGGAGTCTCAATCGGGCGTGTTGGTTCAACTCTGACCAAATCAATTCTCTAGAAAAAAATGAAATCCACTTGAAATAAAAGACATTTCCAGCCCATAAATGCCCATTTTCGGGGGCTTGGCCAGTTTGGGATCTGTTGGTAATTCAGTTCCCACTTCCTAGGCGCCCGCTGCCCCCAAGGGTTAAGGGCCCGACTTCCCGGCCGAGCGTCGAACCCATCTCCGGGCAATGTTCCCGGGGCTGGCGGGGAGGAGCCGAGCACAGTCCGCAGAGGTGAGGGCGGCTCGCCCAAGGTCACCCGGACGGTGCCTGGAGGGGCCAGGCCCACACGGCACCAGGGAACCGGCGGCCTCCGCGCTACTTCGGGGTGGATGGGCAGCCCCCCTCCATCATCTTGTAAGACGAAGGTGACATTAATGGTTTCTTCCCCAAAACTGGCGCATCCAACCTGAAGAGCGTGTGCAGGCCCTGCCGGCCGCGTGGCCCGTTCCCATGTGCTCCACCTGCGGTCGCTCTCTAGCGCTGGTCCTTTAAGACACCTCCCCCTTTTTACCCCCACCCCCCCCCAATCTCTCCTGCCTCCTTCATTGCCCCTCCCCTCCCGAATTGCATCAGGCACGTGCTCGCCCCCGTCAGGTCTGAGCACCCCTCGCCCCCTAGCCTGGGAGGTGCGCCGAGGAATCGGAGGCTAGGGGCGGGGCGATGGGCGGGTCCACGAGGCCGTGCGCGCGCGCTCCCGCCTCCTTCGCCGGCCCGCCCGTCGCCAAGGGTCGGCCCCAGCGGGCGCGCCCCCGTTGCGCCGTCCCTCCCCTCGGCCGCCGCGTCGTGAGGCGCGCGCCCGCCCGCCGCCTGCCGCGGATCGCGTGGTCGGCTCGGCTCGCCGCGCCTCTCCCCCGTCCGTCCATATTGCTGCAGCCCCCGAGCCGGGAAGCCCGGGCTGCCCCGGCGGCGGGGGGGAGGGAAGTACGGGACGAGAAGCCTGCCAGGCTCGGGGTGGGGGTGCCTTGCGAGGAACGGGCGGGGGGGGACGCGCGCCAAGGAGGCCTGGACCGCAGAGTGGGGGGCCTTCCTCCCCCCCCCCCGCCCCGCCAGCGGGCCTCGGATCTAAGGCGGCTGCATCCAACTGGGAGTGGGACCGCGCCTAGCGTGAATCCCGACCCTTGTCTGCAGGGACCGGGGCCCAGCGCTCCGGAGGAAGGCGTCGCGGGCGCTCTGAGAGCCAAGTTCGAGGCGGGGGAGGCCGCCTCGGGCGCGCCCGGCTTCTCCGGGGGGGCGGGCGCGCAGATGGCCACTCAGGTGGAGCCGCTGCTGCCGGGGGGCGCCCCGCTCTTGCAGGCCGAAGAGCACGGGGGGCTGGTGAGGAAGAAGCTGCCGCCGCCGCCCGAAGGCAAGGGCGAGCCCGGGGCGAACGACGTCGGAGGGGGGGAGCCGGACGGCGGCGTCCGGAGATCTCGGCCACCCTGCGCCAAGCCACACAAGGAGGGTACCGGGCTACTGGAGCGCGAGAGCCCGCGGCCTCCTCAGCCACCCGGCGCCGAGGGCCTGGCCTTCAGCGACGGGGAGGAGGGCGGCGGCGGCGAGCCGGGCGCTGGTGGAGCGGCCGGAGCCGCGGGCGCCGGGCGCCGAGACTTCGTAGAGGCCCCTCCGCCCAAGGTGAACCCGTGGACTAAGAACGCTCTGCCGCCGGTCCTGGCCACCGTGAACGGACAGTCTCCTCCAGGTGGGTCTCCCTGCTTGCTATGCAGGGTCTGGGGGCCTTTTCCGGGGAGGTTGGCGTCCCCTCCCCCAGCGGCCTCCAGGGCCTGGGGTCCGCCGCTGGTGGTGGTGACTCGGGATTTTTTTTTATTGCTTCCTGCCTAATTCGGGTCGCTGTACCCTCCCCCCGACACACTCGGGAACCTGTCCTTGCCTGAGTGCCCGGCCTCCAGGAGGCCACGGCCACCGCCTGGGCCGCAGCGGTTAGTGGCAACGGCGTGGTCCGGGCCTACCTCGCCGGGAGCGGGTGGGCGCTGGAATCGGTGAAAAGGACCCTCTCCCCCACCGCGTGTTGGTGTGAGAAACGGTTCCTGTCCTAAGCCTTCGGGAAGCCCCCTCTTCCCACCCCGCCCCACGCTCCCCCGTTTTGGTAGCGTTGCGATCGTCCCCATGTTGTAAATGTTTAATGAGCATATGTCATGGGCAGCAAAGCGCCCAGCGATGAGTTCATACCGACCACACGGGTTCGACATTTAAAAGTTAATAAGTTTTGTTCTCAAGTAGATGATATTTGGCGGTAGAATCGCCATTGACAACGCGTTGAGGGGTCGGTTACGAAAAGAATGGGAAGAAGAGGAAACCCAACGTGTCATTGAATTCGGTGCTTTCCCTCCCCGATCCCTGGGACCTTCCGCCTTAAGAGGGAGCCGGATGGCGAGTGTGCGGGGAATCCAGTTAAGGGGTTGGCGGAAAATGTGAGGCGAGTGAGGGGGCTTGCGGCGGCACGAGGGGCGTGTGGCGGCGGGGGAGGGAGTGGCCGGGATGGGCGGGCGGGTGACAGTTGGGCGCCATGCGCCGCCCCGGCTGCCCGCGGACTGCTCGCGACCGCTCGGCCTGTACATTCCGCGCCCGCCGCCGGGGGTAGAAGGCGGGTGCGGGCCGTCTGCGCGGCCCGGAGTGTGCGTGTGCGCGAGTGTGAGTGCGCGGCCCCCCTTCCCGGCATTCCTCCGCAGCCGGGACAACGTGGTGCCTCCCCGCGCGGGGAGCGGCATGTGACCACTGACCCGCGCTCTGCACGCCTTCTCTCTCTCTCCTTTTTTTTTTTGTTTTGTTTTGTTTTTTTGTCTTTTCGGGCCTGGTCCTTTGGGGAGGTGGGGTTGTAGGAAGTCCTATCGGAGCCGTGTCAGCGTGGGGAGAGAGGCGGTGCAGAATATGGAGGCTCGTCTGGGCCTCCCTTTGCGGAGAATAGACCGTCGCCTTGGGTTTGGGGCGCGCCCTCCCTCCTCCCTTTGCCGGCGCGTAAGGGCAAAGTGGTTCTGGAGTCTTTGGTTTGGGGTCCTTTTGAAGTGGACCAATATCAAAACCCGTTTGAAGCTAGAATGATGGCTCGTGGCCATAGCCCTAGTGCTTTTTTCAAAACTCCTCCCCTTTTGCAGTCTGCTGGTTGAAGCTGACTGGTTTAAACCATCAAAATGGGGAAAGTTGAAGGGGGGTGCTTCATGCCTCCACATTCAACGTAGTAGAATCGTTCGTAGTCGTAGGAAAACCAGAACAGCCAATTCTGAAAATGGCGTGTTGCAATTTTTATTTCTTTTAGGGTTGCTTCATTTGGAGGAGGGGACACTTGGGGTTTACTAATAGTACCTCAAACCGTGTTCTCTTCCTTCTGCCCTTCCCCCTTTTCCCTTCCAGAGCCCTCTTATGCAAAGGGCAGTGCTGAAACCTCCCATTTTCTTGCATATCCCTCTTGATCCACCCACAGGAGGGAAAGCAACTTGAAGACACTCTTTGGTCCTTCCCCCATCTTAAAACTCAAAGGGGTATAATCATCCCCAGGAGAGAGCACTCCTCAGAAGTTTAAATGGGGCTACTCACCCTGGCTGCTGCTGCTTAGCCAATGGTGAACGTGCCTTGTGGGTTTTAAATCAGCCATGACATCAGGTGGTATTGGGTGCCTGAGCTGGTATTTTGTGCAAGTCCAGGGGCCCTTGATAGGGTGTGTCACTGGGGTTATTGATCGTGGGAAGAAGACAGCTTGGCTGGCATCTCACCTTTTCCTTCCAGTGGAGAAGCCAACTTGCTTTAAATGCCCAAAGCAAAATTCTGAGTCTGGTAGATATGCTCTGTTCTTGTTTTTCTGGAATCTTAAGGCAAGAAAGTGTCTTGTCTATTCATTGGTTTTGAACCTTTGGAATAGTCTTTGACAGACTACCTGAATTAATCCAGTAGCTTCTCTGTTTAAGCCTATAGTTAGTGCTTGGATGCTTTTTGAGGGAGAATTTTGTGATTGACTTGTCTGTCTGGTAAGGTTAGATGGGGGTCCTGTCTTTGGAGTCTACATGGATTGCTAAGGCCCTTTTCCAGCCCTGATTTTATTTGCAGCATGGACAAGTGTAAATGTGACACCAGTGAAGTGGCAGTGTGGTCTTGGGAATTTTTGTGTTCTGTAATGCATGTTTTGGGGAGTCTACAAAAATGAGTGCCTCATAAGCAAGCTAAAAGCTTTCCAAAGCTTGCTGCAAATGCCTATTTTTAGCCCTCCTTTTGGCTCAGATACTAGTGTTTTAGTTCTTCAAGGGACACATGCAGTAACTGGTAATAAAAGATGTTTTTCAATAATCCTCCCTTGTAGGGTTCTCTATCCTGGTTTAAGCTTCCACGTCTTACATTTATAGTTTCAAATCTTGGGATTTGCATTTTGGCTTTTTGTATTTCCCTCCCTAGAATATTTTGAAAACGTTTAAACATTTTTTCCTTATCCTAGCCACAACTCTAAGTGTAAGTGTGAGAGACACAAGATGCTTTCATTAAAAGAAGAAATGATGTACATATAGCAAAGGTTGTGGGCTCAAAACTTCATGCGTTCAAATGGCAGCTCTTACCACTTGCTAACTGTGCCTCCTTGGGCAAGATCCTTAACCATTCTGTGCCTCAGCTTCCCCATTTGTATCCTGGGGATTCGTTATGATTTATCTGCCTCTTGAGGCTGTTGTGATCATTCATTGTGATGTGTAAAGCATTTAGCCCAGTGTCTGGCGTGTGATAGCTGTTATACCAAGTCTGGGAGACTAAGACTGGGACTTTCCGGGACTTTTTCTGGGTCTCTGTTTTCTCCACCTGTCATTTGAGGGGATTGGAGAGAGCAGTAATACTTTCCTTTTCTGGTATTGTTGGTATTGCATCAATACTCCATGAAATCTATGGGATCATCTCCTTAAAAATGGACTTTTGCTTATCAACAGGCTTAAAGGGCATGGTGTGGATAATCCTAAAGGTTGGTTACCCAAAGAATTGGCTATTTTTGCTTTGGACTGTGGTATGCTGAGTGTTTTAAAAATAAGTTTTAATTAGTTTACGTGCCTCTCATTAAGATTACCTCTTGGGAGAGTGCACACGTGCTTTCAGGGCTGTGGGGAAAGGCCCGTTTAGCTGAACTAAAAGTTCACTGTGGCTAGTGCACTTGCAGTGGGTTGAGACTTGAGAGTGTATCATCACCACAAGCTTCCACCCACCCCAGCAGGGGGAATCAGTGGGTTGATTGTGTAGAAACTCTAACTTCCGTGTAGTAAGAAAGCCAACCAACCAGTGCTGTAGTCTTTTTTTGATTTCTTTTTAAAAAAGGAAAGTCGGGGGCAGGGTCTGAGACTTGGGTGTTTATGTTATGGGCATTGCTTTTTCTGTACCTTTGAAGTGTAGCTAACTGACGGCACAAAATAAAAAAGGGTTATAATCTCGGCTAACCCATGGCAATCCCAGGGATCCTTTGCCCCATTGAACTGGCCTCAAGTAAACCTCCGCTCTCCTCTAGTTTCCTTCCAGGTCACACACACACACACACACACCACACACACACACACACACACACACACACCTGTACTATTAATAGGTGGGGCATCTGTGTGGATCTGAGCATCAGTCTTCACTGTGTGAAGACCTCAGAGCTACTTTAGCCCCTGGCCCCTCCTTCCCTCCTACAAGAAAGTAGACGAATGAAGTAAGAGCTCTGCTCTGGAATATACAGGCTGCACTTTTGAGCCCCAGCTTTGTTTCTTTTGCTGCTACTGCTTTTTTTTTTTTTTAATTGAGGTATAATTGCCATGTAATATTAGTTTTAGGTGTACAACGTAATAATTCTGTATTTGTATATATACGGTTTTGTGTCTAACCTGCTGTGCAATCTTGGGTGAATTACTCAGCCTCTCTGAGTCACTGTTCCTCTCAAAATGAAAATAATGATATTTACTATTTCAGAAGGTTGTGAGAATTAAAGAACGTAATATTTATAAAGCACTTACCGTAGTGCCAGGCGCAGAGCATCTGTTAAGTGCTACCTGTTTAACAATTGTTGTTTTTAAATTTTTATAGAATTATCACTAGTCTTAGAATTTGTTAGTTCCACTTCTGATTCTGCTCGTGACCAGCATCGTGGACACCAGCAACCCCCATACTTACTCTGCGTCTCTGTTTTTTCATCTGTAAAATGATGGAGTTGGATTAGGTCTAAATGTTAGTTTTTTTAGTAACAAAAACACTTTTTTCAATAAACCCCTTCCCCATAAAAAGAAACGAAAACCGAGCTTTTTATATCTGGTAGTGGGTAAGAACTCCAGTTTTGAATCCAAGCTCTGTGAGGGCTGGAGAGACTCTTCTGGCTTCAGGAACCCAGGCTCTTCACTTGGGGGTGCATATCAGACATTGCAGAGCAACTTACAATGTGCTAATAGGAAGTACACAGCACTGTCCGAAAATTTCCTCCAACCAAATAAAAAGCGAACCCAAACCTAAGAGAACCACAGATCTATGGGGATAGAGGGACAAATTGATTGACTGTGAGGTAGCAGTTTTCTAATTTCTGAATGTGAGAAATTCTGCAGGACATTATTTTATCAGTCAATAAATCGCATATTTTAAAATGGGAACTGTTACAGATGAAAAGAATTGAGGCATCAATCAAATGCATTGTGTGAATCTTGTTTGGATCCTGATTCAAACAAACCAGTTATAAGAAGACATTTTGGTGACAGT